TCTAACCCAAGCCATGGTATTTTCAATCACCTCTTATGCATGTGAGAGCTGGACAATGAATAAGGAAGACTGAAGAAGAGTTGATGTTTTTGAGTTGTGGTGTTGGAGAAGAATGCTAAGAGTACCATGGTCTGCTAAAAGGACTAACAAATCTGTCCTGGAAAAGTGTAGCTGGAATGAATGCTCCTTGTAAGCGAGAATGGCCAGACTTCATCTCATCTATTTTGGTCATGTTGTCAGAAGGAACCATTCCCTGGAGAAGGACATCATGCTTGGTAAGCGGAGGGTCAATGAAAAGGGGAAGGCCCTCAACAAGATGGAGAGACACAGTGGCTGCAACGATGGGCTCAGATACAGCAAGGATTATAAGGCTGGCACAAGACCAGGCAGTGTTTTGTTCTGCTGTGCATAGGGTTGCTATGAGTCGGAGACAACTTGATGGCACCTAATAACAACATTAGCCCTGTGGTCTAGTTTCTTCTTTGAGCCTTTGATTACCTTCATTCCTTTTCGCTCCATGTGAGCAAAGACCAGTAGTTTTATTAATGCAGAATCCTTGTTTTGTAAGCTGCAGAAACTACTTCAGGAGGATATAAGTAAAAAGAAATTTATTGGAAATATATTGGAGGAGCTCACAGAAAGTCTAGGAAGGCCACAGAGCCAGTCTTAGAGGGTGGGCCGGATTTAGGGAGGTTGGGAGCAGCCAAGACTACAGCCACAATCACACCCCAGGACCAATTCAGTGAAGACTCTGTGGCCAGCTCTGGACCCCTTTCTTTCTTCTGCTTTCCTGGAAGCCAGCTGCAGCCCCACCACCACTTTCAGAGTTGCCTCCACTGCCCTGCTTCTCAGGACCATTGTTCTCTGATCCATAGTCTGGGCAGGGAGGTTGATGTCATGTGTCCATGTCATGTGCTGGGGGAGGGGAGATCGGAGTTAAGCATCTGGCCATAGTGGCTTTTATGGTGGGAGGTGTCCTTTATTTCCTTCAAGATTCATGCGAGGGAAAGGTCCAGATGCCGGGCATCTAAAAGTGCTACAAATGTCTACACAAAATACAAAGATGAGTAGACAGTGGTCCCTGTCCTTGAGCCACAGATATGTGTTGTTGTTAGGTGCCATTGAGTCGGTTCCAACTTATAGTGACCCTACGTACAACAGAACAAAACACGGTCCAGTCCTGTGCCATCCTTATAATCTTTGCTGTGCTTGACTCATCATTGTATTAATGCAGCATCCTTGTTTGTAAGCCACAACAATTACTTCTTATTCAGGATCTTCCCCCTTTTCACTGACCCTCTACTTCACCTAGCAAGATATCCTTCTCCAGGGACTGGTCCTTCTGACAATATGACCAAAATAGGTGAGATGAAGTCTGGCCATTCTTGCTTCTAAAGAGCATTCTGGCTGTACTTCCTCCAAGACAAGTTTGTGCATTCTTCTCTCAGTCCATGGTACATTCATTATCTTCACCAACACCACAATTCAAATGTATCAATTCATCTTTGGTTTTCCTTATTCATTGTGCAGCTCTCACATGCATATGAGGTGATTGAGAACACCATGGCTTGGGTCACAGGCACTTCGAAGTGACATCTCTACTCTTAAAAACTTTCAAGAGGTCTTTTGTAGCCAATTTGCCCAATGCAATTACATTGTTAGATTTCCTGACTGCTGCTTCTATCGGTGTTGATTGAGGATCCAAATAAAATGGCATCCTTGACAACTTCAATCTTTTTTCCATTTATCATGATGTTGTTTATTGGTTCAGTTGTGAGATTTTTATTTTCTTTATGTTGAGGGGTAATCCATACTGAAGGGTGTAATCTTTGATCTTCATCAGTAAGTGCTTCAAGTCTTCTTCACTTTCAGCAACCAAGGTTGTGTCATCTGCATGTCACAAGTTGTTAATGAGTCTTCCTCTAATCATGATGTTGTGTTCTTCATATAGTCTACCTTCTCAGATTATTTCCTCAGGATATAGATTGAATAAGTATGGAGAAAGGATACAAGCCTGACACACCTCTTTCCTGATGCATCAACCCCTTGTTCTGTTCAAAAGGCTGCCTGTTAGTCTCGGTATAGATTCCTCATGAGCACAATTCATTGCTCTGGAATTCCCATTCTTTGCAATGTTGTCCATGATTTGTTATGATCTACACAGTAAAAATCCTTTGCATAGTCAATAAGACACAAGTAAACAACATTTTGGTATTCTTTGCTTTCAGCCAAGATCCACCTGATATCAGCAATGATACTCCTCATTCCACATCCTCTTCTGAATCCAGCTTGCACTTCTGGAAGTTCCCTGTCGATGAACTGCTGCAACCACTTTTGACTTATCTTCAGCAAAATTTTAGTTCCATGCTATATTAATGATATTTTTTTGATATTTCTTGCATTCTGTTGGATCACCTTTCTCTGGAATAGGCAAAAATATGGATCTCTTCAAGGTGGTTGGACAAGTAGCTGTCTTTCAAATTTCTTGGCATAAATGAAGAAGTGCCTCCAGTGCTGCATATATTTGTTGAAACATCTTAATAAGTATTTTGTCAGTTCTTGAAGCCTCAGTTTTTGCCAATTCCTTTAGTGCAGCTTGGACTTCTTCCTTCAATACATCAGTTCTGATCATATACTACCTCCTGAAATGGTTGAGGGAGCACTGGTGGCATAATGCCTAAGGCATTTGACTGATAACCAGAAGGCTGAAGGTTCAAACCCACCCGCCACTCCTCAGAAGGAAGACTGGGCAATCTACTTCTGTAGAGATAATGCCTTGGAAAACCAAGGAGGGGTAGCTATGAGTCGGATTTGAAATGGTTGAACATCAACCAACTCATTTTGGTGCAGTGACTCTGTGTATTCCTTCCATCTTCTTTTGATATTTCCTGCATTGTTCAATCTTTTGTCCATAGAATCCTTCAATATAACAACTCAAGGCTTAAATTTTTTCTTCAGTTCTTTCAGCTTGAGAAATGCCAAGCATGTTCTTCCCCTTTGATTTTCCAACTTCAGATCTTTGCACATTTCATTATAATTATATGTAGGGGTCAGTTATGTGGACACATAATTATGACAGGAAGTGATGGAGGCCACGGTGTAGGTGAGAACTAGATCCAGGGGCTGAATTGGCAGAGAAGCATCAATAACATGCCTCTTGGTCAAGATGAAGAGTCTGAGATGTCGTGCATGCTCTACTGGGGTGGAGTTTAAGGATTGACTGGGGCTATGTCACACTAGGTCAGATGTTGTGGGACTTGGATACACTGTCCATGTAGAACATGTGTGTAGCCTTTGGGGTGATGCACCTTCTCCTTGCTCAAAGGAATAATGGAGTCAAAGAAGCTACTTCAAGGCCTTTGAGTCCTCCCTTTTGGCATCTTTCTGTGTCTTTGGATTATCTCTTGCCATGTCTGGGCTCAGATTTCTATCTGAGTTCAATGACAGAAGAGAATAGGGAGATCAGAGATGGAACCATAAGGAGGAAGAGGCTGTATCCTGGCCTCTGCTCTGTGGCACCAGATCACTGTGCTATTCTTTATCTCACTCCAAATCCTTCTTTGTTGCTTGTTGTCTTGGCCTGTTCCTGTCCTTGTCTGCCACCATCTCTGCCTTTTATGTTACCATCTGTGCCTGTTCCTTGTCTCTGGTTATCACCATGATGTTTTCCCTGTCATCATCACTGCCTGTCTCTATCTCAACTTCATACCCCTAGAAGGACCAGCCTTGAAGCCTTGCTATGTTCCTCTACTGCTCAGTCATACTGGCTCTCTGAAAACCAGAGGTAGTTCCCTTTCTCCCCTGCCCCCCACACACAGAAAAACAGAGAGAAATTCCAGTAGCCCTAGTTCACTGCAGTCCCAAAGCAGCAAGTTGCCCCATAGAGTTGCCACAGGTAGGTAAAGGCTGGGTGGGCAGCTCCTCTTTGTTAGGATTTGCAGGCCCTCCAAGCTTGCCTACCCACCCCCCTCTTCCTTTCTATTTGTGGCAACTTCAAATGAAGCATCTTCCTGTCATCTCTCACACCCACTGGGGCCTCAGCCATAGGCAGCTACTGCCCCTCTGCCCACCTTCCTTCCATCCCCAGCCACAGAGGACTGCTGCAGAATCAGGTGAAGACTCTCATGTACGTGGCTCTTTTAGGGTCCTGGTACTTTTTTTGAGGCTTGAGCCAGGTTTGGGAGGAGTCAGGAAAGAGGAAAAGGAGAAGGGGTTTGAGGCTGAGACAATGGAGTGAGAGGGTGCTGGGGTGTGAGGAGCATTTGGACTTAAGAGGGAAGGGTGATTGCTGAGGAGGAAGGGAAGGAGTCTTCGGATGTTTGTAGGTCTGAGGTAATCCCTGTGTCGTGAGGCCTGAAATGAAAGGTAGCAGAGAAGCAAGGTACTAAATGAGCAGACAACTGGAAACTCAGGGTAGTTCCCTGGTTAGTGAGGGCATGTCAGTCAGGGAAACCTGGAAAGTCTTGGCCCACTCTCTCAGGCCTCATCCCTGGTGAGGGAGCTGAGCATGAGGCAGTCTAGGTGGCAGGACACTGGGATTCTTCTTGATGGAGCTTTTGTTGGTAGAGTCACAGATCTCTTCCAACATGGAAGGAGGTAGCTTTTCAATTCCCTACAGCGCCAAAGTAATCTGGAATGCTTCCTCAGATCTCTGGGCTTACTTGGAAGCAACCCCCATGAGGACCTTCCTCTCTCCTCTGTTGGTCCCTCTGGGATGGGGATCAGGCCAGCACCTCACCTCTGATTGGCTAGTCTTCAGTTAATCCCCTTTTTACCCCTACCAGGAGAGTGTCATTTGCTTCTAAATGTCAACACTGAGAGTCTCCTCATCAAGCAATTCAACTCTCCCATTTTGCAGATAGGGAAACCAGTCAGGAAGGGAAGTGACTGGCCCAAGTTTGCACAGCATGTTAACGGGAGGGGTAGCCCTAGAACCTGTCTCTTATATGGAGGACTTTCGCTTTTCACCGGTGACTGTCTTCTCAGCAGGTAGTGGAGGTATGAAGGGGGAATTCTCTCCAAAACTGGACTGTTGCCATAAGCCCAAGCCTCTAGTGGACACAGGAAGCTCTCTGTCCCCCAATCTGGACTTCCAGTTCTTCCAAGGTGACCAGGTAAAGTGGGGTCTCTGCCCTATCTTTGAGATCAGTCTGCTTGTGGTTGAAGGGAGGTTAAGAGGAAGTAGGGAACGACTGAAGGGGCCCAGAGCCCCATTCTCCCCTGTTATGAGCGCTCACTACCTCTGAAACATCATGGGGATGTGCCCTTGAGGTGTCAGAAACCCTCTCCCCTGCCCCAGATGCCCAGACTCTCCTGCAAGGAATGAAAGGGGGCAGGGCCATACATAAGTCTTGGCTGTTGTGATCATGGCTTTGGGTCTTAGTGGGAGGGGAGCTCAGGACCATTCTGTGAGATTTCTAGTCTTCAATGAGAATTTTTCCCAAGTTCACTTTGGCTCCATTCAAAGCACAACGGATGATCTAGTGGGACCAGGGTGGTTAGGAATGACAGGGGATGAAGACAGGGTTATATGAGGATTCTGGGGAGTGGAGCAGGGAAATTCTTGGTGAGGATGAGAAAGTTCTTGGAGAAAGAAGTCTTTGGATGGGAGAAGGGTGATAGACATAGTGGTGGTGGTGGGGCTTAGCTTCTCCTTTCCCTTTGGAAACCAGAGGAGAGGGGTCCCATCCCAGGGACCCAAGAGTTTCAGCCACCAGCCCCCAAGTCCCTTGCCACTTGCACTCTAGGTTTCCTCAGCCTTCAGGCCACTACCAGACACAGACATAGTGAATACCCATGGCCAATCCTGTGCCAGCTGGCTGTGCCCCTTGCCACTGGTACCAGCCAGGTCTGCCCTGCTGGCCTGCCCTCAGGGCCTGGACCTCTACCTGTGCACCCTGCAACCAGCACTCCTGGGCACAGCCCCACAGGGCTTCAGAGACGACGCCTTGAATACAAGTAAGCCCAGGTCACGGGTCTGCACTTTGGTGCAGGTTGGAGGTGGGAGGCACTATTAGTTGTGGGGATGGGAGGGGGAGGGGAGTCAGTGTCACTGGTGAGGACAGAGCCTCAGACATATTTTATTTTCACATTTTGGCCTGGAGTTCTGGCCAGGGGATGCAGGAGATTTTCAAGGTGATGACACCTGAGTTGGAGGGGTCAGGTAGTGGCTTTCTCAGGCATGGTGGTATGGGAGCTGTGGAGGTATAACTGGTCAAAAGGGTTGGGATAGCACTTGTCTATCTAGAATATGAGTCAGAGGGGACCTTGTTATAAGCACATTGAACTGGGAGGCAAGGAATCGGGGTGGGATCAACGTTCCGCCTTTCTAGCTCTATGACCTTGGACACAGCACCACACTTTTCTGAGCCTCAGTTTCTTCATCCATAAAAGTAAGATCTCACCTAGACCCATGTCCTAGGCTTTGTTGTATTGTGATAGGCCATTTTCTTGGGCAACTGTGACTTCCTGTAGGGCAGAGACTATCCTTCTGTCTCCTTTATTTCTGGGACACCAGACAGAGCACAGAGTGCAACAGCTGATCCAACGAGACAATGTTTATGGAACTGCTTCTTAGTATTTTCTTTTTAGTATTTTACTTTATATCACTCCTGGTTTCACTCCTACCTCACTGAGTATCACATCTCAGTCCCCTTGCTAATTCTTCCTCTTCTGCTTACCTCCTGAATATTACTGTGCTCCAGAATGCAGTCCAGAGCCTTTCTCTTTTCTAGAATCATGCTGTTTGAGAACTTTCTGCAATGATGGAAACATTCTGTACCTGCACTGTCCAATACCAGACCTAGGGAGCACCTGCCTGTGGCTAATACAACTGAAGAGATGATTTTTTTATTGCATTTATTTTAATTAACTTAAACCTAAATAGTCACATGGATAGTAGCTACTATTTTGGACAGAGCAAATCTATATAATCTCATCCAGACCCATGGCACCCAAATTTATGTTTCTAGCTCAGATCTCTTCCTTAAACTCCAAACCAGTGTGTCCAGCTGCCCACTTCTCTACTGGATGTCTAATAGGCTCCTCAAATCTTTCCTATCCCTGAAATTGTTAAGTGTGACAGAAATGCTAGCAGTGCCATTGCAGACCAGGAAACTGAAGCCCAGAGAGGGGAAGTGTTCTTGCCCAACCTGAGCTGGGCAGGTTTGATGGGGAGCAGAGCTTGGCCCCAGGATGTAGGGTTCTGACCTGTCTTCCCTTTCTTGCTCAGAGCACCAGCCACTGCGGTTGCAGGCCAGCGCCGCTGATGACGAGAAACTCACAGCCAAGTACCCTTCAAGCAGGGAAAAGATGGGAAGCCAGCTGGAAAGAGCTGGCGAGGGGCCCCTGCCCTCCCCACCTTGCAACAGCTCTTCCCCAACCCCTTGGCAAAATCAAAAGAGCTCCAGCCCCTTGGCTTTCTGTCCTTGCCCCCCTCCCACCCCCACCTCCAAGGAGCTCCCATTCTGCCTCCACCCCTTCTACCCCACATACTCACTTCTGCCTCCTCTTTATCTGTTCCCCTATGGGGCCCTCCCTTCTGTCCAGTACACCCACCCCTTCATGCTGCCCCAAGGTACCTCCTACCCCACTATGGCTGTGCCCAGCTTGCTGATGACTACCAATGAGCCTGGGCATCACAACACCCATGGGGAGACCCTGCTCCCCAACCAAGGGGCCTTCCAAGCCTCTGGCCAAACCTTGCCCTCCCAGGCCCAGAATCAAGGCCTTAGAGCCGCTCGGACTCGCTCCTCAGGGCTGGAGCATGCTGGTGTGGTGGCTTCCACAAGGCGGGCCCCACATGGCTCCAGGGCAGGCACTGCATCCTTGCCTTACCCACTGAAGAAACAGGATGGCAAGATCCTGTACGAGTGTAACGTGTGCAGCAAGAGCTTTGGGCAGCTCTCCAACCTCAAGGTATCTGTCTCCTGGGTACGGCTGCCCTCCTCAGCACCTTTCAGTGACCCCTCACCCTCCTGCCAGTCCTTCCCTGGAATCAGGGCCCTGAAAGCCAGAAGGAACTCTCAGTCTGTGTACGTAACTTCGAATGGTTCATTAGGCTCCTCTGGGCTCTAGTCTCCCACCTGTAGAGAGACGATACAAGATAAAGATGGCTACAGTGTCCGCTCCACCCCAGAAGGCTGCCTATGAGCTAGTGTCATTTAAGTTAAAAACTAGGGAAACTGAAGATCCTAATAGGAAAGGTTTGCCCAAGGTTACTTTGAAATAATGGCGGAGTTAAGCCTTGACTTCAATATCCCAAGGTCTAGTGCAGAGCCCTTTCCTTGACAGCCATCCTTTTTGGACTCAGGTCAAGTATCTTTCCTTTACTGAAGGTCAGATGGGGAATTAGGTAGGTTTTAGTGAGTCTAAACTACAGACCTGACAACTAACCTTCCTCAAGGGGGATCCCACAAATCAGCGCCTGTCTGTCGATGCCATCATTTGCATCACCCAGCAGAGGGCGATCATGGACACGTTGCTGTGTATTAGTAAAATTATGAGTATTGGGATACTTAATCATCTGGGGTCTTAAACTTTAATGAGCTTCAGATCACCTGGAAAGGTAGCAAACATGTAGATTCCTGAGCCCTACCCCTGGATTTTGATTCAGCAGGTCTAGGGTGAGGCCTGAGAATGTTTCTGACAAGCTCCCTGGTAATGCAGATGCTGCTGGCCTGTGACCACACTTGGAGTAGCATTGCTCCAGAATATACTGGTGCTGCTCCTTACATGGCTTTTGGACCATTGTTACCTCCTCTCCCAGAGGGCATCAGAAAGAGTGGGATGCTCTAGACAATGGTAAAAAGGGCCTGAGCTGAGTGATAGAGAGGAAAGGGGATTGAGAGCCTTTGATGTCCAAATGTGGTCCTGTGGGGACCTGGGTAGAGACTCGGAGAGGAAACCAGCCCTGCTGGGTGGTTCTGGGCAGTCAGCAGCATTTCCCCCACACCTGGCTCAGGTTCACCTGCGCGTGCACAGTGGGGAGCGCCCGTTCCAGTGTTTCCTGTGCAAGAAGAGCTTCACTCAGCTTGCCCATCTGCAGAAGCACCACCTGGTGCACACTGGGGAGCGGCCCCATGAGTGCCTGGTGAGACTTTACTCCCCTCCCCTGTCCTCCCGCAGCTGGTGAGGAGCTCCAGGCTCCTGGAGTGATGGCACCTGTAGCCTCTGCCCCTAGTTCTCCTGAGAAAGCAGAAGCAAGGAGAGAGGTGGGAGGCAGACAGGTGAAAATGACCCTCCTCAGCCTGGAGGCTCTGGGATGAGATACTGGAGGGCACTCTCAGGGCCTGGAGGGGGAATAAAGATGTATATCTGTCAGGGTAAGTTGGGGGCATCCTTGGGGATTAGATACCCTTCATCACCCAGGGTTGCTGAAAGGGTTAATGCTATAGTGTATATAAAGTACTAAGTGGAAAGAACCTAGATCAGTGTCAGATCCCTCCCTGTCTGAGCCTCACTACAACCCTGGGAGGTCAGAAGGGTAGGGATTCTTTCCCTGCTGTACAGAGGCAGAAATGAAGGCAGTGTAGTGGTTATAAGTCTGGGCTATAGAGTCAGGCTGCCTGGGTTCAAATCCTATCTTGGCCTCCAACTTGCCATGTGACCTCGAGTTGGTGGCCTTACCTCTCTGAGCCTCTACTTTCTCACTGTAATACAGGAGATGTACTAGTACTTAGTCATAGGGTCTTGGGGCAGACTACATGAGACTATAGATGTACATTGGGTCAAGCAATGCCTGGCATGTGGCAACACCCAGTTAATTATGGACATAATGTTAATTATGTTCACTGATGCCTCAGCCCCGTGAACTGGGCCAAGGGTTCTATGTCATGATCTCATTCAGTCCACCATACCTTTGAGGTTAGATATTAATAGTCATATGTTATCAAAGGGAGCTCTGGTGGTGTAGTGCCTAAGGCCTTTGACTGCTAACCAGAAGGCTGGCAGTTTAAACCCACCAGCCACTCCTGGGAAGGAAGATTGGGCAATCTACTTCCGTAGTGATACCACCTCGGAAACCCAAGGAAGGGTCGCTATGAGTCGGAAACAACTCAATGGCAGTATGCTATCAACATGGAGAACAAAGCTTGAAGAGGAGATGTCATTTATACAAGGTCACACAGTGCATTAAAGAACCAGTATACTATATTCAGTATGTGGGCTCCAATGTGCCAGGCACTGTGGGTCCCAGTGAGAAATCAGTGGGTGAAAGCTGTTGGGCTTTGTTGTCAAAGAGGTGGGTGGGACTGTTACCAAGATGGGGAGGGGAAGAGAGATCCTGAGCCAGACAGAGATGACACCTCTACCCGTTCCCATCAGCTGTGCCACAAGCGCTTCAGTAGCTCCAGCAATCTCAAGACTCACCTGCGCCTGCACTCGGGGGTCCAGCCCTTCCAGTGCAGTCTCTGCCCAAGTCGCTTCACCCAGCACATTCACCTGAAGCTGCACCACCAGCTGCACACCCCGCAACCCTGCAGCCTCCCTCACACCCATCTGCCCCTGGCCTCCCTTGCCTGCCTTGCCCAGTGGCAAAGGGGGCCACTAGATCTTATGGCAGCACCATCAGGGAGAAAGGTGGGCTGGGACACAGATAAGGACAAGGTGTCCTTAGCACCCCAGGGAAAGTAAGAACAACCAGCCTGAATGGTGATGCCAAGACTGCTCTGGGGTGGGGGCAGGGGCTGAGTAATTAAAGCATTTTCTCTATGACAAGTTGAGGTCTCTTGAGCTCCAGTGGTGGAGGAGGGAGCCACGGTGTATTTGCCAAACTTCACACATCACAGGGGCAACAGCCGGAAGAGCCTGTGTTGTTCATGCATGGGGTGGGTGCTTGCAGCCAGCTAAGTCAAAGCTGGGTTTGAGTTCTGCTGCCTGTCTGGGCCCTGCCTGGGAGCAGCTCACGGATGGGAAGTCCAGCTCTCTAGGTCTCTACAAAGTGCAGACTGTGCTGCCAAGCACAGGGCACCGTGCCTTCTTTAGGACAGATGTTCCAGTCATCTGTCCAGATGTTTCTCTGCTGCTTCCCACCACCTCCTGGTCTCATAGTCACTGTTGCTGCTAGGCACAAGGACTTCTCAGCTGCCAGCCATGCTGTGGTCAGGTGAGGTGTGTGCCTCCTCCTGCACATGGCAGAATCTGTGGCCCCTGCAGGAGTGAAGAGGAAGATATAAGGATGCTATGTCCTCTCATGATGCAGAAGCATGATATTAAACAGGACCAGTCACCACACGGGGCAAAGGGCCAATGTGGTGCAGCACTCAGGGAAGGGCCAGAGGCCCTAGAGGGACTACAGACAGGGAAGACCTGCCCAAGGGAGCTGGGGAATCAGGACCCTTCTGATGGTTTTACTCTCTGAAGTCCCAGAGGATTCCCTCAATGTGCAAGATGTTCTCCACACCCTTCATGACCCTCATGAACCAGAGAGGCAACATTAGTTAGGAAAGGGAGATAGGAAGTCCAGGTTATAATCCTGGCTGCTGTCTTGCTGTCTGACCCTTTTCTTCTCAGGGTCCCAGTTTCTCCATCTGTAAAATGGGGGCATTGGGCTAAATGCTGTCTCCAGCTCCACAAAGACTTTCACTATTCAGGATGTCCTCATATACCTCCAAAGGCAGCTGGATGAAGAACACAGCCGAGCAGAGGACAGTTGGTGGGACTGGTATCCAGGCCACAAAACTGTCTAAGATGGAGGTCCCACTTGGCCACTTATCCTGATTACCTTCTGGCCCATGTCCAGTCCCACAGACTGAGGCAGGGGGAGGGGGGATCCCCTGCTGCCTACCACTGCCTACCTATACCCTTCCATGACATCTTCCGTGTTAGTCCCATTTTCCCCAGCAGAGTATAAAATGAATCCCTCAATGTCCATCAGGCCAAGCCCTTACCCAAAGCTACACTGCCCTGCCCAGGTGGTGCCAGTTGCCCATGTACACAATGAATGATCTTCCTTGGCCACTTTGGTTTGGATTGGCCTCTGAACTCTATCTATGTGCCCATCTGACCTCAGCTGGGCCCACTCTGACTCCAGCTGGCATCCCCAATAGCACTCTTAACTCTAGTCCAATACCCCCATTCCTTCCCAGGCCCTCAAACAAGACCCAGCTGCCTAACAGCTGCCTCTTGTCTTTCCCCTCCCTTACTCTCTCCCATAGGAGCTCTGGTAGCATAGTGCCTAAGACACTTGACTGCTAACCAGAAGACTGGCAGTTCAAACCCACCAGCCACTCCTCAGAAGGAAGGTTGGGCAATCTACTTCCATAGTGATACCACCTTGGAAACCCAAGGAGGGGTCACTATGAGTTGGGTCCAACTCAACATCACATAACAACAACAACACTCCCCCCCACAGCCCCCCCCCCCCCGAGTTCTTTCATAGAAACCACCACTAATCACATTACAGCAATTAAATCATAATACCTTGAAGGGTAGAAATGATGATTCCCATTTAACAGAAGAGAAATCTGGCTCAAGGAGGCTGAGCAACTTGCCTGAGTCGATACAGCAAATGCCAGAGCTGTGATTCATACCCAGGTATGTCCCAGTGAAGAATCCTGTCTGTCCCATGACCCCCACATCTCTTCGTGCCCATGTATTTAACAGCACACTTATGTAGGATCATGGAATGTCACAGGAGTAGAAAGAACCCATTTTCCATTTCACAGGTCACAGTATGGTAGGGAGAGGTCTTTAGACTGCCCTGCAATAGGAAGCCAGGAGTAGGGTGGGGAGGAGATGGGAAGAGAGGGATGCACAAAGAGGAGCCTGGAGTGTGTGAGGAATGGTGAGCAGTTCTGAGAAGCTCCAAGGCAGCAGTGGGGTGGGAGAGGAAGAAGGGGAGGCTGGGAAGTTTGGAAAGAGGCTTGCAAGTTGTGAAATTTGCCCCCAAAGGAGACATGGTAAACAAATCAGATTGGTGTTTTAGGAAGGTCACAGAGGGTAGGTCAGGGGGACAAGATTGCATCGAGGCAGGGAGCTCATTAAGAGGCTGTCACCAGCATTTATGTGTGAGGTTTTAAGTCTGAATGAAGGCAGTACCCGCTGGATGAAGACTTGGGGATGGGCCTGGGAGCTCCTTCTGAGGCACGGTCAACAACAGGTCTCAGAATTGATTGGATATCAGGGTGGGAAGAAGAGGGAGAAGACACTGAGGTTTTACTGGCTGGAGTGTTGGAGTGGATGACTCATTCACTGAGACAAGGAGCCCAAGAAGGGAAAGAGAATTCAGGGAAAGTGTTGACTTCAGTGTCAAGTATAAGGGGCCTGTAGGCCACCCAGGGGAATGTTCTATAGGCAGTTGGAAATGTGGTCTAGACTTAGGAGAGAGAACAGGAATACTGAGGCAAGATTAGTCTTTAGTCACTTAAAGCCCAATCTCTGCGGTACTACAGACCTGGGTTTGAGTCCCTGTCCTGCCACAGTGCTTGTGACGTTGGACAGGTTATATTACCCCTCTGGGTCTCAGCAGCCTTTCCTGTAGCAAGTGCTCAGGATCAGTCAGATGAAGAGCCTGGTTCGGTGGCTGGTGTTATAGGTGGTGATGTTAGCTGCTATTAAGTTGGCCCCAAGTCATGGTGACCCCATGCACAACTAAATAAAATGCTGCCCAGTCCTGCGCCTTCCCTCAGGATCTGTCGTGGATTGGACCATTGTGATCCAAATGGTTTTCATTGGCTAATTCTCAGAAGTAGATTGCCAGGCTTTTCTTTCTAGTCTTTCTTAGTCTGGAAGCTCTACTGGAACCCATTCAGCATCAAAGCAACATGCAATGTGCATGAGGCACATTGGCTGAGAATCAACCCAGGTCTCCCACATGGAATGTGAGAGTTCTATCCCTGAACCACCACTGTCTGCATTAGAGGCATAAAATAGCTGTTAGCTGTCTGACTCACGGGGATCGTACGTACAACAGAAAAGTATGTTGTCCGGTTCTGCATCGTCCTCACACTCACCAATGCTGCAGAGTCCATCATTGTGGCTAATGTGCCAGTCGGTCTCACTGAGGGTCTCACTTGTCCTGCTAGCCCTCTACTTCACCAAACACGATGTCCTCCTCTAGCAAACGATCCCAGTAGCTGTCAAATAATTTTCAGACAATGCGTGAATGGACGGTGTGGTGGTTATGTTTGTGTGTCAACTTGGCTGGGTCTGGTTGAGTGGCTGGGCAGCTGGTGGTAGTTATTCCCCATGATGAGACTGGCAATCAACTCCATGGTGGGATCTACCACAAGCAGCTGAGTAGCTGCCTTTGGGATGTGGTCTGCTTCCTGTATATAAGGAGAAACTTTGAGAACGGTCTCTAGCCTATGGCACGCTTGGACCCTGCATGTAGCTCTGTTGTTGCTCAGCAGCCTGCTATGCTCTGCCGACCTTGGGACTTACAGTGGACTTAAGTTAATAGCCTGCCGTGTGGATTGGTAACATCGCTACCATGCCTTTTTACTTGTCAACCTTGGGGCATCTCAGCCTCCGCAGCCAGCAGCTGTCTGAGTGAAGAAATGCCTCTAGCTCCAGTGGGCTGGGAGCAGGAGGCAGAGCTGGATCCCAAGGCTGAGGGGCTTCCACCCAGCCCCTAGAGCCTGGCACTTTGAATTTGAACTCAAAGCCTCCAAATTTTAAGAATAAACTCCTGTTTGTTAAGGCCATCCCATTTGTGGTATATTTCTGTTAGAGTGGCACTAGGTAACCAGAGGGAGCTCTGGTAGCATAGTGGTTAAAACACTTGACTGCTAACCAGAAAGCTGATGGTTCAAACCCACCAGCCACTCCTCGGAAGGAAGGTTGGGCAATCCTACTTCCGTAGTGATACTGCCTCGGAAACCCAAGGAGGGGTCGCTATGAGTCGGGCCGACTGGACGGCACATAACAACAACAAAAGGTAACCAGAACAGACAGGTTCCCTGGCCAACTTCCAGCAGGGGGCACCATTCGCACCCCTGTCGTTTTAGTGTCCTTTTCCCCCACGGGGTACTGGGCGACAGATTCACTTATCCCACGCGGCCCGCCTTGTGTCTTAGGTGTCTTTACGACCGAGAATGAGAATCCTGACAGGGACCACACCATTGCTGGGCAAATAGCAGGATCAGTTCAGCCCCCACCAGTAATCAGGCTCTAGTGTCATCCACCCCTTCACCTCTTTGGCCCCGCCCCAGCAGGGTTAGGCCCACCCCTTTGACACAGACCTCTCCCATTCCCGCCTCCGACCGCGGGCACCGCCTCTGATTTATAGCCCCTCGTTCTCGGGAGAGCCCCTTAGCCATCGCTCTGCCAACACACACAAGCCACCAGCCCAGGCCCCCCTTCTCCAGCCTCATCTAGTGCGGGTCCTGCCCGGAACTGCTTGCACGCGGCCGCCCCCCTTCCCCCCGGCACCTGCAGAAGCCTGAAGAAATAACGCAGAGTGCGCCGAGAGTTGGGGCTCTAGCGGGCGTGGGCTCAAGCGCGCATCCTCAGGCCACGGTCTGGGATGGGGGGCGGCCCCTTGCAGAGCGCACCCCAGACCTAGGCACCCGCGGCAGCTGGCACCGGGTTCCGCCCGCATCGGCCGCAGGCGGGGCCGCTGTTTGCTCAGGGGGGCGGGTCAGAGGAGGGGCGTTTCTCTGCAAATGCAGCGGATCCGGGTGGCCCCGAGG